TTTTTTATATTAAAAAACGGAGCAATATAGTAAAGTTTGGGTAAGTGGATGCTGGAAACTTACTGAGTTCAACACAATGTATCATCTCAACAAAAAAATAAAAAAATAAAAAAAAAATCTCTTCTTCTTACCCATCAAGGATGCCTCGCTCTTGGGAAAAAGGGGGTCTCACTACAATCAACATTGACAGAGCAGCACAATTGTTTGGTTCAAGGAAGTGTAGGGGAGAGATTCAGCTGTGTTGTTACTTTTGGGTTCATATAAGTTAAATAGCGTATATGACCCTTTTCAATTTATAAAACATTTTTTAAATGAAATTATATATATTAATAAAATTTATAAAAAAATTTCCAACATATTTTACATTTTAAATGTTCGATTTATTTTAAAAGCCTCACCGAATTTGTTTCAATCGATGCTCACATCCCGGAGTCCCCTCTTGCACATTATTATTCTTTGCATCTTTACTTGTGCTCGTAATAATTTTACTCCCCACCTTAATTGATTAATGATTCTTGATTGACAACCCAACAAATTAAAGTGTTATTGTCACGCCTCTTAAATTAAGCTTCGTCTGGCGAAAGCTCGACATGTGGAAAAGTATTAACAACTTCACTATTTAAATATAATTTTCATAATTTAGATTTATAGTTTTTAAATTGTGTTTTTCAAATGAAAATATATTTTTAAAAAAATTAACCGTTAAAATATTATCTTTATTTTGAATGCTGCATCTGTTAAAATAATTTCTTATTTAAAAGATACCTATTAAAAACTATACATTTAGATTATGAAAGTCAAATATAAATAATTTAGAAGCAATGAGGTTTCAGTGCTCATCACTAAAGCTAGTCCCTTGTCTGGCTAGCTGGGACGAAAAAATGCTACACACTGGCATTGCATTATTGCATATTAACTCGGCTCTTATTTATAAATTATTTTTAGTTATGTTTTATTAAAATAAAAAAACCCTTAAAATTTATTAATTTTATTTTAAAATTTAATCAATTTTTATCTTTATCCCGAATAAATATTCATAAATCTTATCACTGATATTTTTATTTAAAGCATTTCATAAGGGTAAAATTTGTAAAAACGACCATTAAAAATTAACAAGTATCTTATAAACGAGATTAATTTTTTTTTTGCCCTATAAATGAAATAAGAAGGGTACTATTTATTTTTGCTTTTTTCCTTCCATTGTTCTCAAACCTAAGTTGTTAAAACAAAACATGAAACCGAATTTTAAACTACTCCATCATATATCTAATTTTTAAAAATATTCTAATATAAAATAATCATAAAATACATAGTTAGTTTCAAACAATTTCATTTAAGTAGGGGTGTTTATAAGACGGAACGCTATCAAGGCACCCCTGTTTCATGTCCCATCTAAAAAAAAATCAGAATGAATTTTAGTCCCATATTCCATCCCATCCCTTTAAGAATCGGAACGGGATCGAGACGAGATCGAGACGTCTTGCCGCCCAATAATAAATAACATCAGAGAAATATCTAAATGATAATATTTATTAAAATTTTAAATGATATAATTTATTAATTTTAAATTAAAACAACACAAATACATAAATCACAATAATTCAAAGTCAATTATTAAACTACATTAATCACAATTACATATTATGATAGCAATTATAAATGATCTATAGGCTATAAGAGTAATAACAATAGGCAAGTCAAGCACAATATTAAATCATTATTCTTCTATTTTAGTTGTGATGTGCTAAGTTAATAACTTTTTCAAAAATAAAATAAGAAATATAATATAAATAAAAGTTATTAAATATATAAATATAAGAATAAATTATATTCTCTCCGTTAAAAATAAGGTATTTTTGAAGTAGTTAGAGTTGGTGTTGAAAATGTAAGACATTTTGGTCTCTTGATGTGTAATCATTATTTTTTTTCAAAAGTGTCCCTGTTGATAGTGACTTTATGTTTATTATAAAGTGTTTAATAGGATAAATATGAAAAGATATGATTAGTTTGAAGTAAGTAACTATTTTTATTGGGGGTGAATTTAATTAAAATATTTTATATTTTTAACTAGAAAGAGTATTAATAGAATTAATATACTATAAAGAATGATATTACCATATTTGTTCTATATCATTAAAATTATTAATATAAAAAACTTTACTTTTATATAATAATTGTAAATATTAAAGTTATAATTGATATAATTATATAAATATAAATTATATTAATATGATTAATATATTTAATGAATAGGATGAGACATCTTGATATAATTAGAATGATATCAGGTAAATCAGAATACGAGCCGAAACCCCTTATATTGAAGTACGATCTGAACGGCCAATAGGAGCTGAATCATCATTAGTTTGTTCAACATGAGACCGTTAATTTAATTTCGTCGACCCGCTTTTAAACGTGTACACCATTCGGACGTTAATCTTTTACATCTATAATTAAAATTCTAGATTGCCTTTCTCCCGTTAGTCGTTTCTGCTGGGGCTATTAATGTCGTGCTCTTATTCTTTTCATGACCCTGAAAAGCCACAAACTTAGTTTTATAACTCCTGTTGACCAAGAAAGCCCCGTGCTTTTTAATTCGCACAGATAAAAAAAAAAATTACAATACTCATGATTTATATGGATTATCCCCCCCCCCCAAAATCGAAATATATCCTCTATTCGTTATTTTATTAAAACATTATTTGATATGAGTTAGATATATCTGATTCAATTTATTTAATTTAAACATTTTTTTTTTCTTCATTTATGTCAATGTGAGATTTTGTGAGTATCACACACACTACGAAATATTAAGGTGGATGTCAGGGGCGTACTTTGAGATAACCATGCATCCTTGTATTTGTATATAACCGTGGGAAATTTAAATTGAAAAAAAAAAATTTAAAATATATAAATGATACTCCCTCTATTAAAAATTATAAGACATTTTTAAAGAATTAGATGTTAAAAAATGTAAAGAATTTTTAATCTTTCGAAACGTAATCATTGCCTTTTTTTTTCAAAATTCGCCCTATTAATATAATTTTATATTCATTGTAGGATATTTAATAGGAGTAAATATAAAAATATAGAGTTAGTTAAAAAGTATGTAACTACTTTATTAGAGGTGATATTTGATTAAAAATACCTTATATTTTTAACAGATGGAGTAATTTAAGATCATTAAAAGTCTTTAGGAATTTTTTTATCGTTAATAAATTTATATAAATAATTCACAAGTTTTATTTAAATATTCACAACTTTCTTTCTTATATTCACAATAATAGAACAGTAAATAAAAATTTAACATGTAAAGTTGTGATCTGCTATAATTTTTTAGGTTCATATACTTTCATTTTTTGGTGTTTCATGTTCATTAAGATCCTTACACTTTGTTAATTTGCAAATCATCAAAAAATAAAAGTATAGGGGTTAGAACACAGAAAAAAAAGTATAGAGATTTATAACAAAACACGAGCAAAGTGTAAGGATTAAAAAGTATATTTTTTCTAAAAAGTATTTAAATAAAAAAATGACAATAAAATTGTTCTAAAATATATAAATGACAATTTGATTCTTTAGAATGTTATATTTTTTTAAAATTTTTAGAGATTTTTTTGTCGTTACTAAATTTATATAAATTATTAAATTATCCTTATTAAAAATAAATAATTTATAAATTTTATTTAAATATTTACAACAATACAATACAATAGTAAATAAAAAATTTAAGAAATACGTTTTTCCTATTTTCTACTATGATTACAGCACATCAGTGATTCTTGTTTTTTAAAAAATCCGAGACATGTTGCACAGGACAAGTTATTGCGATGATTGAATAGAAAATTAATCTATTTAAAAAAAATAGTTTGCAAAAAAAAAAAGAAATTTCTATTAAATGTTAGATCATCGGTTTTGTTAGTTTTTAGGTAGTGTCATCGGAGCTCCAGGATTATAATATAATTTTTGGTTTTATATACAAGTCATTTTTTAACAGAATTAATAATATCATTCTGCATTGAAAAATTAGTTATTAATTTTATCCTTTCACAATTTTATACAAGTAGGATATACGTAAGAGAGAAAATATTTTTTAATAATAACATATATTTAACAAGGTTGAACTATGAAATCTCTGTTGTTTCGATAGAAGTCAGAAGTAATCCATACAAAGGAGTGGAGTGAAGGGAGTATTAATTTCAAGTTTTAAAGAATGCTTATTACAACCCTTATAGGTTCATTATCATTAATAATCCTCACCTCACACAACGTTTTATTAATTACATGATGAATTTGATATTTGTATAATGACAAGACTCCATTTAAATTAGTTACTGAAACATAAACAAGATGATACAAAATCAGTTGGGGGTATAGAAAATTTTAAAAAGTTAGGCAGTGTAACAATGATAATCAGTGACATGGCATGATTTAGGGAGGGCTCAGTTAATCACTTAATTGATGGTTATAAATTAAAATTAAGAAAAAAGACAGAGAAAGCGTTGAGAGCGCACAATGGAACTGAGGGAGGAGCTGGACACGTGGAGGTGATGAGGCTGGCTTGAGTTGCGGTTTGGAACTGATGAACCCTGAGAGCTCTTTTCGGGGTTATGAGTGCGGTACGTTTGAAAATGTGAAAACTGTGCCAAACAGACAACCAGATTCTGTTTTCTTGTCAAAGCCGAGACGATTCACAGCCCTCACCCACCCTTCCCACTTGTTTTAGTGACAACCCACACGAGCGCTTCTCGATTCCCGTCCCCTTCTCTTTCCACTGTCTTTTGCTTTTCCTCTTCCCTTATTAGTTATTTCATTTTTTTTACATACTCCCCTCTTCTCCTTTCAAAAATGGAAACTAAAGTCCACACAACAAAATCGTGTGCGTTCCCCCCCTTTCTCATATTTTATTGCTTCCTATTTCTAACCAATCCTTCTCTCTCTCTTTAAAAAAAAAAAAAATAGAAAGAAAAAGACTTGACCCTTGTTCGCTATTCCGCCTTCTTTAAAACGTTCGTCTTTCCCTTATCCTCGTGCCTGTAACTCAACCCTACCAGCCTCATTCCCGAGCTTCTCCGTTTTGTCATCTCCCTCTCTTCTCCGACACGGTTCTACTCGTGGGTTTGCGAGAGAGGGGATAAACAATTAAGACTGACCTGTAACCACTCCATTTCTTCTTTCTTGATTTTCGCGTCCTCTATTTTTTTACCAGTATCATGTTATCGTCTAACTAATATAAGAAACGGAACCGTTCGCCTATCAGTCTCTGCTTCTGCCATTGTCTTCGTTCCCTGTGGAAAGCAATTCATTCAGGAATCGAAATTCGGAGCCTGCCTTTCCGTTTTCTTTAGTTCTGTTGCGCTGTGATCTGCTTTTCCGGGTCGTTGTCCTACATGAGTTTTCAGCAATTTAAAAATGGTGGTGATGGTTTCCGTGGGGCTACAAAACAATTATCCTCCGCTCCTCTTCTAGTTTCCCATCCTCCTCTCTCTAAAAATTTCGGGGCTATGGGTGGTTCTAGCGAGATCGAGTCTAACAAATCTGAGATTGGATTTCAGATTCTGAACGCCTCCTTCATGGACACCAGAGCAGCCCATAAAAGCGTCGGTGAAGCCGATGGGCATTTTCCGGCCGAGACAAACGGCCTGTCATTGAAACCGAATGAAGAAGTTGAATCTAGGAGGTCCGGTGCTGGCAAAAGAGGCTCCATAAAGCTGTGTGCCAGGGGCCACTGGAGGCCAGGTGAAGATGCCAAGCTCAAAGAACTGGTGGCTCAGTATGGTCCTCAAAACTGGAACTTGATTGCCGAGCATCTCGACGGGCGATCAGGTAACCAGACAAACCTGCAAAAAGCTACTTTCTTGTCTATTCATTTACTGTTTTCTCTTTTATTGGGCTGATTATTTTGAGGGCACCTTAGATAGGAAAAGATCGATTTCAAGTCCATCGTCTCCGAGAAATAAACCTGTTCTCACGTGTTTTTCAAAAACATTTGGGTGCACAGGCAAGAGCTGCAGGCTGAGGTGGTTTAATCAGCTGGATCCCAGGATTAACAGGAGGGCTTTCTCTGATGAAGAAGAGGAGAGACTGCTGGCTGCTCACAAGGCGTACGGTAACAAGTGGGCTTTGATTGCAAGGCTGTTTCCCGGGAGGACCGATAATGCAGTGAAGAACCACTGGCACGTGATCATGGCCAGGAGACAGAGAGAGCAGTCACACGTTTTCAGGAGGAGGAAACCCACTTCTGAAAACATTCCGAAGGGATTAAAGCTGACTCTGACCAACAATGCAGGCAGCGAATCGAGCATCTCAAGCACCAGAGACGAGTCCGCTTCGACCTGCACTAATCTCTCGCTAACCCCCTCGTCCGCCAAACCTTCTCCCTTTTGCTCTAATCTGGGCCCAGTTCAGAGTCTTCAAGGCCTGGAAACACTGATCGGTACGCTCGGCCGAGACTCTTCCATCATTACTGTATGTTATTAGTGTTTCTTCTCTAGCTTTGTTCATCGGCTTATCTTTGTTATTTGTGGGATTGCAGGTGGATCCAGGGATGCGGGTTTTGACAAGTTATTTGGCATGCGAATGGGGAAGGTTGCGGAGCAATCAAATAATAATTCTGATTCAAAGTCGGAAGTATCAGCGTGTGAGTCAGTGGGCAACAACAGGAACAGTTTGTCATACTCTGGGGAAAGTGAAAGCGTGGGCGATAAAATTGACATGCCATTCATTGATTTCCTGGGAGTGGGAGCTGCCGCATGAAGATAGTGACTCAACAGGACTTGTTCACGGAAACAAACAAAAGACAGAGAAGGAAGCAGTAGGTTAGTGGAGCAGGCAAGTGAATGCACCCCCGCGTGTACAGTTAGTTTCATAGCAGGGAAAAGCTAGCCAAATAAGAAATGTAACAGAGGGAACGGGGCGGGGGGGAAAAAAGGGCAGAGAGAAGTGACTGTGAGAGTTATAACCTGTGACATGATGAGTAGTCACGGAATTCAGAATTCAGAATATAATAATAAAACTATAAAACTCTCGCATGCCAGGGGGAAAAAGTCAGAGTCACCATAACTGTTAAGTAGGGAGGCAGGTCAGGTGTGTTAATGCTTTTTAGTGCTTTGGCATTTTGGTATACAGGAGAAGTCAAAGCAGGCGGGAGCAGGAACAGAGTGTTGCAGTTAATGGAAGTGGTACTAGTGATTTAAGAAGAGCACATTATTGTTTGATCAAAGTCTTACAAAGTTACAAGCATTGCTAATTAAAAGTGGTGATCAATTAGGGTCCCGTGCTCTTGTCCCGGGGCTTTAATGGGGGTCCCGCGGTTGTTAGGGTAATGTAATGAAAAATTAAACGCTCGAGTAGGGACAAGCCTGAGAAGTTATATACTCTGATCCTGGTGGGGTCTGCTCCTGCAGATTAACCCACGACCTACCTCCATCCTTTGTAGATTCTTGGAAAACGTGACATTAATTTAGGACTCTTTTTTATGTCTATTTCTAAATAACATGTCGGTGTAAAATAGAAAGGGGGGTCTGTCAAACATACTCCGGAGAATTATTATTGCCCGCATCTCAATCCTTGAGTCTGGTCTATACTGGCTATCTTTACGCGGTATAGTCTCATGAAAATTATTTTTTAATACTTTAATTAAGCTGAAGATGTTTATGTTAACAAAAATAAATTGCAAGACTGTTCAGGACTTGCATACATATAAAGTTTATGTCCTATGTTTGTTGATTGCAACTATTTTGCAAATTGCAGCAAGGCAACCTTTTTTTTAAATAGTAAAAAGATAATAATTTTTCTGGTAAAAACGTAACAAGGCAATTTTACTGCTCAATCGAGGAGTTTATGTTGACGAAGATAAAAATTGATAATAATAAAGCAATATAATACTACCTAGTAGCGCATGTTTAAATTTTAATTTTTTTTCCCCAAGAAAATGTATTTATTCAATATATAAAAAAAGTTGCAATCATTAACAAAGCCAAGCGACATCAATGTACAGCATTTCCACTTTCGTTTTCTTGGACCATCCAGCAGTGTAACTACCTATGAGTAAAATTATAGTTATAATGAAGGAAAATTAATCTTTTAGTCTTTCAACTTTTAACTCATTTATAACTCAGTCTTTCAACTATGACTCGCTGCGACTCGATCATTTAACTATAACTCATTGCAATTCAGTTCTCAAGTTTTGATTTACCTATAACTCGATCTTTTTTTTTATTTTTTTAAAATTTTTTATCAAATAAGAGGGATAAAAAAAATGCTCATATATTATTTTAAAATACCCTTTTCTTATTCATTAATGTGAGGTATAAACTAACATGAAAAAAATTAATAAAAGTTAAGGGACTAATTTGTAAGTGATTCAAAAATTGAGGGACTGAGTCATAGGCGAGTTATAATTGAGGGATTGAGTCACAACGAGTCATAGTTGGGAGATTAAGTTACAAGTGACTTAAAAATTAGAGAACTAAAAGATTAATTTTTCTTTATAATTATACTGTAGCCCCATCTTTTGGATATCAACCATATCCTCAAAAGTCATAAATATAATACATCATATATATATAGATATGCAGATATAATTGTTTAAAAAATAAATCTATTCAACCATGCATGCAAGAAACTCTCGGAACGTGAAAGGGCTAAAAAATCAGTTTTGTAGCATGTCTTTTTTAAAAGCACGGTGAAAAAAAAAATATGAACTCCAGTGACCAGGGTCTGTACTTTATTGATTTTATTTATAGTATAAATAGATGTTATTTATTTTAATCTTATTTATAAAACACCTCAATGATTATAATATTTAAATTTAATTACCCTTTTGTAAATGATGAGAAGGTTATTAAATAATAGATTATCTTATATTTAAAATATTCATATTTAATTTATTTTTGTATTAATTTTTCAGTCAATTACATTTAATTTATTTTTAATAACCAAACAACACCTTATTGAATTTTTTAGATAAAATTAATAAAATTTAAAAAATTAAAATTAGTCAAGGACATTTAGTGATGGATCTGTCACTAAATTATAGGCAGTAGTGATAAAAAATTTGTGACTGACTAAAATCTATCATTAATTACATAAATTAGTGACAAATTAATAACAAATATGTGATGTCATTACATTTTGGTTAAATTTTATAAATTTAGTGAAAGACTTAAATTCATCACTAATTGCTGTCACTAAATCTTTATATTAATGATGGATTAGTGACGGATTTTTTTAACTAAAAATATTACTAAAATGTTAATGACAAATTAGTGATGAATTTTTTTAACTAAAAATACTACTAAAATGTGCTTAAATATTATATAAAAATAAAAAATTTATAATATACGTGGAGAGAATTACATGAATAAAATATTAATAATTACCAAATTAAATAATTATTAAATAATTTATTCTCGTATTAAGAGTAAGAGTAAATAATAAAAAATGATATAGAAAAAATAAAAAATATTTTTTCATTTTATTATGTAAATTTAAATATAAAAATAAATTTTTTATCATATAAAAATATTTTAATTATAACATAGATAATAAAATTATATAAAAATATTTATTTTCATAAAATATATATTGATATTAAATAATATATTTATTAACTAATATATACTAATTTATATATTTATACGTGTTAATGTGTATATATATAAATTAATACATATTATCAATGTATTTAAATAATATATTAAAAATATATGAAGTTAAATATATATGTTTAATTAAATAATATATATATATATATATATATTAAATTTTTTATATTAAGAATGAAAAGTCATTACAGCTCAACTGGCAGAAGGTGTGAATAAAAAAATGAAAAAAATAGAGGTCTTCAGTAGAGCTAGTAATTCGGGTTGGTTAGGCTTGTTGAAATCCTTTCGAGCTTATTCGAGCTAGTTTAAATGCCTACAAAATTTTAAAAATATTTTTTTGAACAACCTTAATTTTTAAATAATTTTGTTAACCATAAAATATTATTTTAACTTTAAAAGAATAAATTAAAAATAATAACTTATTAACTTTATACTTAAGCAGCTCTATTACTGTTTTATTATATTATGTGTAATTTATTTATGAATATTTTTTATTTATGAATAAATATCTTAGTTATTTAAATATTACTCTAATCATGATCATATATAAATATTTTACATATTTTAATTAAATTATATTTTTTAAATTATGATTAAGTTAATTTTAATTCAATTATAGTTAGATTACTAACTTAAAAATTATTGTCCCTATTAGTTTAAAGTTCTTAATAAGTTTTGGACAAGCTGTACTTTTTATTTTTAAGAATGTAAAAAAAAACATCATTATATTATATAAACAAATCATTTAATCGTGAAAAATACTGTTTTTTTAATTGTTTTTTTAACTCTTTATATTGTTTAACTCTTACGTATAATGAATTTTTACGCTAATTTATTCTTAATTTTTTACCACATCTAGCGTAAACAATAACTAAATAATTATTCATGAATATTCTATTTATTATGCTTATTTAGCAGTAAAGTCAGGAATTTATACATGCCTTAATTTTATTTTTTAAAATAATTTTTAATTTTATTTTTACTTTCCAATTAATCATCTTATTTTATAAACAATATAAAATACTCCATCCATAAAATGTAAAGTATTTTTTGAGATGTTAAATATTAAAAAATATAAAATATTTTTAATCTTTCAATGTATAATCATTGTCTTTTTTTAAAAAGTGCCCTTATTGATAATAACTTTATATTTATTACAGTATATTTAATAGGGATAAATATAAAAAGATAAAATTAATTTGAAAGTAGGTAATTACTTTTTTAGGGAGATGAGATTCAGTTAAAAATATCTTACATTTTTTAGTGGAGGGAGTATACTTTTTGGACACGTCGATGATATATAGAACTCAAAACTTAAAAAAAAAGGTCTTAAAATATAAAAATCAACAATAAAATATATTTTAAATATTATTTTGAGATATTTTATTAATTAAAAATAATAAAAATATTTTTTATTTTTTTAAAAATAACTATAATAATGCACTCATATATATAGTATTTTAGTATAAAATGATATAAAACTTAAAGAATTAATTAATATTTATTATATTTTATATTTTTAAAAATTTTATTTTTTATTTAGATATTTGAGCTTGGCTGAAATTTTCTCGAATCTATTTGGGCCTCTTGAATAAGCCCGGACATTTAAAAATTGATATTTTATACGTTTGATTCTAAAATTTTTCAAGCTAACCTATTGAGCTTGACTTAAATTATCGATTATGGCCTTGGGTTCAAGATGAGATAACTATTACAAGCAAAGAGAATTAAAATAAATTGTTACCATGGTGGTGGTGTGGCATGGAGAACCAAGTGGCAATGATGTGGTGGGCGGCAAGGATGATTTGTACTTGAGATGTAGCATGGGGAGGTGATATGGCTATGTTTAGACCCACAAAATTTTTTTATTATAAAGTAAATTAGTGACAAATATTTTTTATCACTAAATTAGTAACAAGCTCATGTTTGTCACTAAATTAGTGATGCTATATTTGTAACAGAAATAACCTATCACTAAAGCTATAATTATTGACAAATTTTTTTCAGTAGTGACAAATTTATTTGTTACTAATTACATTTTTTTTATAACAGTGAAAATTTTCATTAGTTATGGTAAAAATGTCAAAAATAACTTATAAAAAATAAAAAAAATATTTCACTTTTTTTTTAATACAAGGGCATGGTAAAAACCATGTAAAGAGACCAGTATCAGGTCATGTCTTAAGCTAAGCCATACAAGACTTTTACAATCAGTAGGTAGTTTGTTAGATAAGATAATATCAAAATGTTCTCTGAAAATTTTGTGAGTCAGAAGATTAGTGCATCTATTGATTTATCTATAAACATAATCAAAAATGATTTCTCAATTTTATGTTGTGAGATTTCTTATATTTCTTATAATAAATGAGAGAATAAGGTCACTTTTGTTTGCTTGGAAGTGGTCATTCAAGCAAGTTTTGGCCGCTGTAATTTTATAGCATGTACATATTAATGTAAAGTTTCTATCACGTCATATATACCATGTATAAATCTTATATAGATCAAATTAATACCTCATTTACGACATTTGAAATCTAAATATAATGAAGATGCATGTGGAAAGAGGCAAGGCTTATTTGACAAGCTGCTTTGAAAATAGTTTTCTGTTCTATAAAATAAAACAAAACAAATTATTTAATAACATATCTGCAAAAAGTATTTTAAAAAATAAAAAACTAAATATTATTATAGAGAATAGAAAAATAAAAATATTTTTTAGGTGTTTTGAAATTTTTTTTAAACTAAAAAAGATAAAAAATGTCTATGTTTATTATTTTTTTATCATCAAAATATGTTATATAAATTATTAATTTTTAAAATAATAAAATAAAAATAATTTTAAACAAGCCTACCAAGTATTTGTTGTTTTTTTCCCCTGGATACATGCACGCCGGTGCTGCAGCAGCTGCACGGTAAAAATTGTCACCATTGACGGAGACTCGGTCCCGCTAGCTTTGACTGCGGTCTGTGGGGGCAGAACCGGGCAAGTCCAGGTTGCCCCTGGCGCTGGTCATGTGGCCTTGAGTTGATTTAGATCGAAGTATTATTGCTTTTTCAATCGAAT